TATTCTGTCCCTAATTTTCAACCTTCTGCAGATTTTTGTATTGACAATACATAACCACATTACAACTCTCTCAGGGGAAACTGGAAGATCTGGCACCTGGAAGGAGTGGGGCAAGATTTAGATTTGTAGGATAAACATTTTGGGCAGGATGTTTGAAAGTACTCAAGCACTGGCATAAATCTGCTCTTAGTGCAGTCATTATTGGTGGTGCAGATAGAGTTGTCTATATAGTCAAGGTTGCCCAGTACAATTCATTATAAAGCTATGACCCAGGAACTGGTTGATGCCAATTGGGAGATGGCACAGAGGGTGCACAAAGTGTTATTGGGATCCCTGGGGTCAGATATTTGCAAATAGTTCACTAAAGGATGACGTGTGATACCTTTCCTGAGAGCACAGTTGTCCACTGGTCTTCATAAGCATGGCAAAATTAATATGCACATAATATTTAAGGAGTTACACTTGCGTTCTGAAAATTATGTTGTTAAAGCAAATAACCAGGAGGTGACATGTCTCACACTGGTTCCCTTCAAGCAGGAGTAATAAATGTTTATCTCTTTGTCTGGTCATGTATGTGTTGGGCATTTTATGTCTCACAATAGATGCTTGTGTGCATACTGACCCAACTGGTAAACATGAGATTGCAAAATCTTCAAGGCAGGAAATTTACAGGAAGAAATAAACAGTAGGGCTATGTCTAGACTGCAAGCTTCTTTCGAAAGAGAGCGTCTAGACTGCACGCGGAACTTTCGAAAAAGCAAGCCACTTTTTCGAAAGAAAGCAGCAAGTGAGTCTGGATGCTCTCTTTCTAAAAAGCCCTGTTTGCTTTCAAGAACGCCTTTTTTCGAAAGAGCACTTTCGAAAAAAGGTGTTCTTCCTCGTGCAATGAGGTTTACCGCCGTCGAAAAGCCGTGTTCTTTCGATTTAATTTCGAAAGAACGCGGCTGCAGTCTAGACACAGGTGAAGTTTTTTCGAAAAAAGCCTACTTTTTTTGAAAAAACACCTGAGTCTGGACACAGCCTAGGGGAAATTGTGTTTACAAGCAAAGACAAGGGATTGTTGGGGGTCTATCTGGAGGTGCAGAGTTACATATCAATCCTTCACAAAAGGAGGCAAATTAAGGAAACGTCTGAAGGGGAAAAGGAGCAGAATGGATTGGGCTCATTTCCCGCCAGACCTTGGAAATGAACACATGATTCCTCAATCTCAACATTCCTTGGATGCTAGCAAATTTGGCTGGCAGTTGAATGCCATGCTGAAGAACTGGATTATATTCCTGCCTCTGCTGCAGGTAATGCTTCTCAAGACACTACCAAACTTTTCACAGATGGTCCCTAATAATGTGTTCCTAAATTTCTGGTCCAACTTGGAAACACAAGACTGAGCATTCATAGATGCAAAGTAACTAACTGGGAATGGTAGTTGGAACTTAGATGTGCTACCAAATAGCAAGTACTCTAAAATCAGACCCCGCGTGTCTTGAATTGGGTGTGCAAAACTCCTGGACACTTTTGACATTACTCAGTATCTCAGATTCCTGTCTGTAAAACGGGGATATAATACCACTTTATCTCATTGGGGCATGGAGAAGGTAAATTAATTAATGTGTGTGAAGCACTCTGATACCACAATGATAAATGACACACAAAAGCCCACAAAAAATTTAATAATTTTGTTTTCAGAGAAGGGTTTGTATAATGTGCAGGGCCATACACTGAACAATAAGGATAAAACTAAATACTGAACAGCTGCTCACTCAGTGAACATCAACCATCATGTGCACTGAATGAGGCAGGGAAGAAACCCTCTTTAATGTAGTTAAAACTGTATCATAGTGCATACACACAAGGGACTAAATTAGGGTGGCATGGACATTTCCTAAATTTTGAGTGCTTAACTTTGCAACCTTAACATTCCTTGAAGCAGATTTAGGTCAATATTGCGCACTTGCACAAATGCCACCCAATATGCTTATTTAACTCACCTAGTGCAGGGGAAATCACCTCTGGTTTTATAGCCTCTGTGCCATGCAATCCCAGTTAGCTCTAATAATACAGGGTGGGTCAGCAGCGGGAAGGGATGTGGCTGGAGCCTAGAGTGCTCCTGTAATTCTTGATCAGTGTAATGGCCTCTATGGGACTATTACAAGCCAGAATTCTTTATAGCAACCCCGACACTGCTCTTATCTGTGATGGTGTCAGAATTAACACAGGATGACCAAAGTGTCAAACCCTGTTTTGCAAGCTTCTTGACTAAAACTGAATTCAGTGCTTGAAAAATGTGAAGCTTATGGTTCAGTCAACTGATATTTCCATTCAGATGATTTGCAATGATGAAATCATTACAAATGTTAACATTTAAATTAGGGATGTCAACGAGTAGCCAACTATATGATTAATTGATAAGCCTAGGCTTATCAGCTAATTTTGTCAACTACTCGCATTCCCCCCCCCTTGCAGCCTCTGTATCAGAAGCAGAAAGGGGGGGGGAGTGGAAGCAGGAGCTGGTGCTGGGGGAGCTGGCACTGGGGGAGCTGGCTTAAAAGCCAGTTGCCCGCAGCACTGGCTCCGTGGTGCCGCCTGCCCCCTTGTGCTGCTGTCTCTATTAGAGGCAGCAGCACAGGAGTGGGGGGTGGGGGGATTGGGGAGGCTGGCACAAAGCAGCCTCTGTCCGTGAAGGGCCCAAGTTCCCTGAAGACAGAGGCTGCTCCACCTCCCACAGAGGCTGATTCGTGGCAGCATTCCCTGTCCGCAGGGGGTCCGAGCTCACGTGGGCAGAGGCTGGTCCCGTGGACAGGGAATGCTGCCGTGTAGCAACCTGGGCCTGCCGTGGATAGAGACTGCTCCGTGGGAGGCGGCGCAGCCTCTGTCTCAGGGGAGCTCGGATTCCCCTGTGGACAGGGACTGCTGACTGACCAGCCTCCTCTACCCCCCTCAATCTCTGTCCAGGTGGAGCTCAGACCCCCGTGAACAGGGGCTGCTGCCACCCTGTGCTGCTGCCTCTATATCAGAGGCAACCACGCGGGGCGGCAGGCAGCCAGTCCGCAAGGGGAGCTGGTTTTTAAAGTGGCTCCCCTCGTGGATGGCTCCCACCTGCCACCCTGCACTGCTCGATAGAGAGGCAGCAGCACTGGGTGGCAGGAAGCTCCCCAGGAGTGGGGCTTGGAGTGCACTGGCTGCTGGCCCCACCCACGGGGACTATCAAATAGTCGTGTAATCACAGTTTTGATGCCGTTACGTGACTATTCAATTACCAGGTAATTTAAATCCTTAGTAATCTTTAAATCCTTATTAATCTTCAGAACTGGACCATCATAGGGATAAATGAGCCAGTTCATTCCTCAGATTTACAGTTACAGGTAGGTTGTGTGACTATTCATACAGAGTCACTGCATTGGTTTGTGCTTAGTTTTCACACAGAAGAGTTAGGAGTCACTTTTTTTGGGTAGGATTCTGAACACATTTCTTCAGCAAATAGGGATGAGGATTATGCAATGAATTCTGTGGCTATGGGAGACCCAGGACCCTTGGTTAGTGACCTATCAGCAAAATTCACTACAATTCAAACTACATTTTGAATGTTGCAGGGCACGGAACAAATTCAGGTCTTTTGTTCTTCTAAATTGTGATGTGCCTAGTAATAGGAAATTGGCAGAAGCCCCAATTCTCCTATCATCATATTCCACTAAAGAGGGCTTAAATATTCCACAAGGAACATAAAATATGTGCAAACGGGTAATGCAAGCACAGTTATTAAGTAAAAGTAATCTCCATCTTAAATTCTGATTACCTCATGTAATTAATGGCACGTAGTTGGCTAATAAAATGTTCACTTTTGATACATATTTAGAATGGAAATTCTACTAGGAAACTAATTTTTTTTTGCAGTGGGCTTTTATTTTTCCTTAAAATATTGATAAATTGTGCATTAATCTGAGCCTTTTCTTACGAACAGTAAAAGATGATCCTTTATTTTTCTTTACACACAGAAAAATATCGCTTATCACACCTAAGTGAGGGAGGATGCATGAAGGAAGAGGTTAAGATTGGACAAAGATAATGGCAAAAATATCACCCTTAAAGAGAAACCAACTGGTTCTTTTAGTCATTTTATTCCATAAAGCATTAAAGAAATGTCACAGCAATTCTTTCTCTCTCGATCTTTTCCAAAACATCTAGATAGGGAGGCAAGTTAATGTATTAGTGCCTGATTGAAGGTCAACTGCAGTCAATAGAAAGACTTCCATTGACTTCAGTGAGCTGTGGGTAAGGCTTTTACAGAAGAATCAGTTGTCTTACCGTGTATGGAAAATCCTACGCTCCCAATTCCCTGGCTGTTGTGCACCAGACATTTCAGTGTGTTCTATAATTTAAAATATGGCATTCAAGTGTGTAATGTATGATAGGTCCATGTCCCTTTCTAGTAATGTCTAGGTCAGCAGCCTTTGTGCAATGCAACCAATAGTACTGAAACCTTTCTGTCTTTTAAATATGAAAAATAGGAGCACTTCATTTTATGGCTCTAGTGCCCAGATGTCACTTAAAGAGACATGACTGTATTGTAAGACAGAGTCCTACTGAGGGGTATTAACTTATAGTGGATGTTTTTGCCATTTAAACACAATTTGGATTAAATGACTCTTCCCCTGTTGTCTCCTCTCAAAAACAAAATATCTTCTCCCACCTTTTCATTTTCTCTGTTCAAGATTAGAAATTAAACTAAATTGTACCTTTGAGATTTGGACCTGAACTTCCCCAGTATTTATTCAGGGCAGTCCAGGTTGAGAGTTTGGTATAAGACCCAAGTCTTTTGAGGATGTATTCTGAACAGCTTTTCACCCAAATAAGTACTTCACAAATGAACACACTTTCAGACACTATCAAGACCAATCAATCACCTCTGGCCAAAGCCTAGCTGATTTCTTGATCTCTGGAAAACAACAGCAAAGTGGAAAATAAGACATGTTGGGGCATTTGATATTTAGTCTCCATCTACCTACATTTGCAGTCCTTCTGGTTTTTGGCAAGCTCAAAGCCAGGCCTACATTCACAGGCAACCCCACCTTTGGGCGTCTCCCGGCAGATATGTGCACACCCGTGATCTTTGTTCATACAGTTCATACCCTCTGTAAAGAGAGAAAGAGAAAGAGAGAGAGAGAGAGAGAGAAAGAGAGAGAGAGAGAGAGAGAGACAAGTACTGAAAAAAAAATCCCATTGCAGATTAACTCTAATCAATTTCACAGGTCCATTGTTCCATTGTCAGCATAATTTTTATCTTCCATCTGGAGAATGTCCCATTAGGCAACTGAATGCTGTAGCAATAGGGGTCTAAAATCAACATATGAGCACCATAAATTACAAAACAAGCATCCACTGGGATCCATTATACCTACACTTCAGACTTATACATCACATTAATGCAGCTATTTTTGCGACTATATAATGTAAAGTTTGTAGTGACAGATTGCAAGAGCAGGTGAAGAAGCTGCATGAAATTTAAAAAGAGATTAGAACTATCAGAGCCCACTGGAAATTATATCTTTACTGCCATATGTATTTTGAACATTTAACAGAGTGTAGTGAGTGTCCAAACAATTAATCATTTTTCCCCTTTCCAACTTCAATAACATTAAAGATCTACTTCCCAAAAATCCTTTATGTACTGTAGAAGCGCAAAGAAAAGAGAATAGAATTTTGCAATAAAATGGAGAGACTGTGAAATTTATGCTATAGATTAAAGTGTGTGCATGTTTATACCTTTATGAATTCATGCACAACTTGGGATTCTAGATTGAGACACCTGAGAATTCTCCCATGATGGGGAGTAGTATAGCTCCTTTGGGACAGCAACAGACTACCAGGGACCAAAGCCAGTGGAAAGGCATAAGAGGTTCTGCAAGACTTTGTATTCCTTGTGGATCACTGAAGCCAGATTTTACTTTTTTACCACAAGATGGGGGTTGCAAAACCTGCCTCCCAATAGAAGAATACAGAGGAAATTTAAAAAGATCAAACCCATGGAAGTTTCCTGTCTCATAAGTGGTTACCTGAACTGAATGAATGAATCCACTTCTTTTTTTTTCTAATTTATTGTGTAAAGGCCCAGGGTTTTGGTTGTTGGGTTTTTTTTTTTTTTTGGTCTGCCAGAGTTTATGAAATTCTCAGAATGCTCTTTTTCAAATGAGAAATCCAGTAAAGATTATATTTATGCATTTTATATCAAGTTTTACACATTGATATTTTTGGTTTTCTTTTTATTATAAATTTCCTTTAGTTTTCTTTCTTTGTCAAAATATAGCCTTTTCCCAGCAAGTCCACTCTTTCATTCTCTGTGTATAATATATAACATCATACCAACCGTCTTATAGATACGTAAGACGCACGGAATAGTGTGAATCTTTTTTTTTTTATCATCCTAAGAGCCAAGTGTGGGATTTTCCAAAGCACCTTTAGATGACAGACTTTCAATAGGACTTGTGCTTCTAAGGGCTTATCTTCATTTTGAAGTTAGCTGGAGTCCCATTCACACACAAATATCCATAATCTGCATACTCAAGGTGGTGCTTATAACTCAAGGTGCCCAGTTTGTCAGGTGACACAGCCCAAACCGCAAGTATTTACCTCAGCTGTTCACACGCTGTAATGTGGATCTAGGCTACCACCACTCAAGTGATGCTAGGCCTCCAGTGCCTTCTCACAATTCCACACCCTCATCCAGCCAGGACAGTTTCTCCCATGTCCTTTAAAGCCACAAATGTTATAACCTTTGTTATTAAAAACTTGCTAAAAATAACTTCTATGAGAGTATGCATGTTCCAGAAGAGAATGATGTATGCTGCACTGTAGTAACATGTAGTCACATGCAAACAGAAAGTGAATAAAACATCATAAAGGCATGTTTTTTTTTTCTGAATGAGCAGATATAAAAAACCTGGGAACAGCCTTGCTGAAGTGTTTGAGGCAATTTATAATCCCTTTCCCCCACACTTCCCCGACAAAGAATTTCAGACACAATGCG